TTCTAAAAACTTAAGAATTTTTGTCATTACTTGGCTTATTCTTCTCCAATCAAGTCTTTATTCATGACGCCTTTCAAATAATTGATTGTTGCATGTAATAGATTGAGCAATAAATTATTTCAAAGATTTTACTTTTCATATTATTAATAATAAATCTTTAACATTATCCTTCAATCCATATCAAAATTGATTGATAAGAGCTTTGTCATTCCAGTCCATATTGCAAGCAAGATTTTAGAATTTAGTTAGCATTTATGATAGCAGACTGTGATCCTTGTTGTAAAGATAAGAGTTTGACCTCTGCTATTCTTTTTCAATTACTATCTTCAAATATAGCCATAAAAACTTTTAAGAATAAATATAAATCATAAACAAATTGTGAATCTTTTTCCATTAGTGGTGCAAACTAAAAGAGAATACTTCCAGATAGAAGTGCACCTATGAATCCAACTTGAGTAAATCCATCAAGGTATTAAAAGACATACAACCTTAAATAGAGCTTCATTTATTGCAAACGTCTTTGAAATTTTGATCTCATTCCATTAAACTTGTTCAATATATTAATTTGTATCCATATTGTACTTGCGGAAGCAAAACTTCTTAGATTTGGTTGTGAAGTCGATCTACTTGCTTCTTTCAACTATACAACTTCTTGCCATAGATTCTAAAATTCTTCTATAGGCATAAGATTAGTATTTCCATAGTTGGCACTGGTGATGTATGAAATTTCCATTCTAAGAGTATTAACAAATTTGTGAAGAATTACAATAGTTGCAAATTTATTCTTACTTCTACCAAGTATAGCATCCATGATTTTTTCTTCTATTTCAAATAAATTATCTAATCTATAAGTTAAATAAAATAGGGTAATCCACAACCTCTAATATCAAATAAAAATTTCCATAAAGAGATATAATCTACTTTCTTTAAGGAAAAATATTAGTATTAAAAAATTAAATGATTTATTTAAAGGTGGATAATTTTTAACTTTTAAAATATAATAATAGAAGTAAAATAATCCATTCATTTGTAAAACAAGATAAGAACAATAAGTTAGCACTCTTATCAAACTTTCAAGGATATGAACTTCAAAGAATTAAAATGTCAATACACTCTTGTGTCACTTGAAAAGACTAAAAAATCACTTTAAGAGCAATACAACAATGCTCTATAAGACCTCAAAATATGTTGACTTTGCAAGACACATATCTTAATTTGTAAGGCAAGTTTTTTATATGTGCGCTACAAAGTTAGCTTATTTTGCAAGCTATCAATACATGGTTATTTTTTTGACCAAGTTTCTAATATACCAATTAACTATAAACACATGTAAAGTCAAAGCATTGTCCATGAAACTTCTAGAAAGTATTTTTAGAAAATATTATAAAAAAAATTATTTTTATCTACTTCTATTTAATCATATAGGTAAATATTAGAATAAATATATATGTCTATGACATTAGTGCACAATTTTGTGTCTCAAGGTCTAGCTTTGACCTTGGTTTGTAACTCACCTTCTCCAAGTATCAATTTAAGGTTTATTTAGGTATTTTTTTGCTGAAAATTACTTTTTATTTTTATCTAAAGATGTCTATAATATTATTTTTCTAAGCTACTTTATTTTTTTTATTTATGGCCCTAAAAAGTAGGCATAAGGCTTATTTATTATAAGACAATATTTGCTTTAAATTATTTTATTACCTTCTTAATTTTTAACTTGGTTTCTAAAGTCATTTGCTACTATATTTTAATGCAGCTTCTACTATATTATAATCAATATCTATTTCTTTCATTTAGTAGTCATACTACAATACAATAATATACTATTTTTACAAGATGTTAATTATCAATTAATAAGAGGTAATTTGTCTCACCTTCCTTCATCAATTTATAAAATTAAAAATATTTTAGTAGATTAAAAAATCTACATAAATTTTGAAGTTTAAAATTTAAAGAATCATTTTGAAATATCATATCATTCTTCTTTAAGAATATAAATTTTGTAGAAATAAGACCAAATTTTTTTTTGGCATAATGTTAATTTTTTTATATTAGAACGTACATGTGGTTATATCAATAATGTTAATGATGCAATAATATGTATTCTTATTTTTCTTTAATAAAACACTTGATTCAAAATGTTGATTCTTTTATGCTCAATAGAGTTCTTTGGATTATTTTAATGGTATTCCAAAAAATTCTATAGATATTTTTAATATTTGTTCTTCTAAAAAAAACCAAGAAAGAAGCCAAATGTAGCTTGACTTAGTAGACATACTGCCCTCTAACATTCCTTGTATTTTTGGCAGAGATTAGAATATAGTCAAATATATACAAGATAAATCTTTTTCTTATAGAAGATTTCTTATAAGATATGAAGATAAAATTTGAAATTATTTCATTCTTGTTTTTATCATGATGGTTTATTTAAACATGAAAACTTCTAAAATTACTCTTTTGATAAAAAAAGACATGAGGTCTATAAAGTAGCAAGATTTACTAGGATTTATATTAGTACTAGCTCAATATATATTATTGAAATTTAATAATATTACATAAAAGAAGATATTATGTTATCTAATCACCTTTCAATCCAATTTATACTTCAAATTCAAAAATCTTAACTTAAATTTTTTAATTAAAAAATGTATTGTTTCTACCTAAATAATTCTTATGTCTTTCAATATGTTAAAAGAAATATGGATTCATCATAGACTTAGAAGATACTTCTTTTATCAAATGAAAATATTTTTATAATTCTATAAATCATTTTGTAAAAACAAAAAATATTCTTAAGCAAAAGATAATACATTGAATTCCAAATTCAATTATAAGATGTTTATACTTATTCATGCAAATCTTTAAGATATATATATATGTCTTAAATTATGTAGCCTAGTCTTAGATATCATGGACTTAACAACATTTCCAAAACCTATAAAGAATGGTCTCTAAGTCTTAGAGATAGTACAAGACATAATGGATGTTATTGTGAGGATTAAGTTTTCCTTTCTATGTTTAATTGCCACACTTTTATGCCTTATGAGGTAGATATGGTAATGAAGATTAAACCAAAAATCATTCTATTTATAAAATAATTCATGATTTCATAATAAACTCCACTTATAAGCTAGTAAGTTAAGAAGAGAGGTTTTTCTTTGAAGTAGCTTCTTGTCATGCTTAAAAAAGTATGTCATGAAATCTTCCCTAGTTATTAAAAAATATACTTTAAGATCAAAGTTCAATTTATTAAATAAACCATAAAAAAAATTGATGCCTATTAGCTTTTTTTTTCAAATTTTTTTAGTCATTCTAATAATTTTTAAAAAACTAGCCACTTGATTTGCATTATTAATTGAAATTTGGATTTCTTGATCTAAAGACAGTTTGATTTTAGCAAGTTATTGTAAGGAGAAACATTTTTCTTTTTTAACTCCTTTCTATTGAATTGAAAGTTAGAAGACTGCTAGTAGTAATTCATCTTTCTTTAAGATATATAATCTAATCTATTTTTGGAGTTTTGATAAAGCATTACTATACTAAAGTAGAGTTTTTAAAATTTTAAAAAATAGAAGTTTAAGAAGGTCCAAATATAGCCAATGTTAAGTAAAATATGATATTTTAAGAAAATATCTTTTATATTAATAAGAAGTGTTGTATCTTTAAAGAAGTTTTTGACTCATTTGAAATAATTTGGATTTAGAATTGCACCTTGTTGTAAGTTTAGGTAGTATTCAATTAATAGAAATTTGGGATTCTACCATAAAAATTGAGTTTATACTTTACAAATGAAAGTTGGAGGATTGAGCCATAAATACTTGCACATTTGTGTCCAAACTTTGCTAATTGTGTATTAAAATTTTAATAAGATATTCTGCTTATGAAAATAAATGAATGTCTATGTAAAGTCTCATAATCAATGTCTACAAGCACTTAATTTTGCATTCATTATTCTAAATTTTGAAATTTTCTAATATTAGTATGACTTGATTGAAAGGTCCCTACAATCCATTTAGACAAGGAAATTTTGGTGTCTTCTTCAAAGTCAATTACACTTAGATCGTCTTAGTACAATCCTTACAACAAGTCGATCGAATTGCTTTGGAGCATGTTAAAGAAGAGATATTCTTTCCATAGAAGTTTTTAATCATAGATTTTATTTTACAAATTGCCTTTGAGGATCTAGATTTAAAAAGCCTTTACTTCTAAGCAAGCCATATTTTCCAAAAATATACCACCTTGATTTATATACTTTTATAAGATCTTATCTTTATTAAGAAGACTTTGTTTATAGACCATATGGATTTTGAAAAATTATATATATATACATGCTCAAAAAAGAAGCATAGAGTAAACTACATACTAGAAATGTAATGTGAAAGGGACAAATAGAATATGGACAAATTAGTTGAAAATTCGTTAAAAAAAAATTTAAAAAACATATTAAACATAAAACTACCCTTTTAAATAGATGGAATAAATCATGGATGGCAAAACACCTAGTAGGTTCTACATTGGATAAGATATTTAAGTGAAACTTTGAAATACTACAGAGTGGCTTGATCATACACAAAAGTGTAAATAAATTAGTAGTAACTGCAACTACCTCCATTCAGGTGAACCTTTGTATAGTTTTTAAATCACATTTTTTCAGACTAAGTAAACAGCCTGCATACCTTCATGCATTCCTTTGTATAGTTTATGAAACACATCTTTTAAGAGTAGGTAAACAACCTGCATGTCTTCATGCGTTCCTTGCCAAGAAATAGTTAAAAGCATTATATGTGACATTAAATTAAATAAAGTTTATTTATGGATATGTTAATGGCAGAGGGGAATAATTTGGATCGAAATTTCAAAAATGAAGCACAAAAATTAGTGTAAAACAGTCCAGTGTTAATTTTAGATCATAGAGTAAAATTGATTGTTAACTTGCTTTTGATTTACGATTGAGCAATTGTGGAGGAGATATACATGAAACAACCAATTTCTAGGTGCTTTCACTGGTAAATAACAAGTGGATTAGAGTTCCGCCTATTGTACACTACATCCTAGTTTTTCGGAATACAACATTGAAATACCCATCGTACTGCAGGGAATCATACGCGGAAAATAGTTTGCAGGGACAGTCTGAATGTGAAAAACACATCTCGTCAAATTTGTCACGTGCGTACAAGCTAATATTGAGTACCTTTGATACTAGGAGTAAACATCATACCACTACAATTGTGGATGCGATAAGGATCCAACAAAGCTAGTTAGTAGTAAAAACATAATGCCACTACAACGACACATGTCATTCAAAATGGTCTAAACTTCCGTGCAGCCTTCAGCCGTGCAACTCTTTTCTTATCCTCCTCAAATCTTTGTTGCAGCTCCAGAAGCTCTGCATGAAACGACACCATTACATAATGATCAAATATCATCAAAAGATGCGGGTGAAGTACACAGAAGTGCACCCACAGCACCCCGATAATCTCAAATCAACTTGATTGTGACCAAATTTGGCCATTAACATGTAGATTCCATATCTTTGCTGTGACTCCTACATACCTTAAACTTGACTGATCGAAAACAGGAGAAAACAAGTTACACTCACCGTTTCTTCGAGCTTCGTGTCTTTGGAACCTGTAAAAGTCGAGAGCGGAGTTTTCTTTCTTTTTACGTTTCTTATTGCCACGATCTTCTGCAGCTTCTGCTGATACAGCTCCTACAGCAATACCAGAATCATCCGTGGTCTTTTTCCTACCAGTTTTAGCTACAACCACTGTCCATCCATCCTCGGCATCAGCGGCTTCTCTGTCCTTCTTAGCCTGCAAAACATACATTTTGAGAAATTAAGTGCTCCAGTCTGAAACGTACCGAAGAACTAAATAGCACCTAGTTAGTGGACACGGTATCCCAAATATTTGTGAAATGCTTAGGAAAGATCAAATTATAGAAGTAGGGATAAGTACAAGCTAAATGAAGGGCGAGCTGTCACAATCCAAACCAAACCCTAAAACCACGAATGAGTTCTCTGGACGCGCAATTTCCTAGAACAAAAATCTATCACCAAGCAAGTAGTCATTTCCCTGGGACATCTACCACTACATATGCAATCGACAGCTACAATTCGACAGACAAGTAGAGCGGTCAAAAACACTACTTGCAGCTCCCGAGCATCATAATCCGCCATCCATTGATCAATTTGACGTTGCAGAACTTCAACTCCAGGTCTCTTTGACTTGTAATTTGAAATCCATTCTGAAAAGAAAAACACAACCAGTGAAATTAACACACCGAAATCGATTGAATGTTACACGAAACACGTAAAGACGAATACACAACCTAGAACAATGATCCCGAAGAGTTTAGACCTACTCTGCATGCCTCGCAATTCGAAGTTGGGCGTAGTTGAATCCGGAGCTACGTCCTTATACACAGCAGCACTGCTTCCATTGCCTGCTACGTGTCCATTCTCTGCTGCCGTTGACGGCGGTGCAACAGCTTTCTTCTTCGCTTTCTTGCCCATTTGTTACAACAGTTCTGGAAGAGCCAAGGTTTCTGTTCCTGATGGGAGAAATTAAGAATCGCGACTGAAGCTTGCAAATGTGCGAGGCACCTCAAAAGCTAGAAGTGAGAACATATGCGACGGCCTCGAAAACAAACGCAGCCACATTCACATCGCCCATAAAGACCACACCCAATCCCATCCATATTCTACAACTGTTTCCCCTACAATAAGAATCCACCTGTTCCAGTCACTTCGAACCCACAAACTTCATGTGCGGGAAAAATGAGCAGAGAAGAATTCGTCGCACTGTACAGCATCAGAACAACGCATTCGGCTCAATCGACCTGTCGATGGCGTCGTAAAATCTGCTCCGCAAGCCAAACCAAGGCCTGAGACAACAGCGATAGTGCCGATTCTAGGGTTCTGGGGTTTAGGGTTTAAGCTTTCTTTCAGGCTGTGCTTTGTGGAAGAAGACACCCATTCCTTTTTCTTTTTCGTCTCTGTTTCTTTTGAAGTGATTGTTAGAACAGCTCAACAATGATGCACAAGTTGTTTGCTGCATAATATTGGATGGCTATATGTTAAGACAAATTGTTAGTCATAATGACACCACCAATTTTTTTAATTTCTGAAAACTCTTTAGACTTTTGAAAAGATCGATTTTTTTAATTACTATTTAACCTTTTGAGGCTTCAAAGAAAAATTAATCATTGGATGTGCTTTAAAGTGAGCTGGTAATGATTACTTCATGTGGAAATTCATTATGACTTTCCTGCATATGTATTTATTTATATATATATATATATATATATGTATTTAAGAGTGTAATGAAATATTTTGCTATGAATATAATGAGTTACACAAAGTAGTTATTCAATATAACTGAAAATGAAAAAAACGGTTAATTATATTTTGTTAAATAATAAAAAAAAGTACATAAACAATTTTTTATTAGCATATTATGATTTAATCTATATTTAGAATGATATAATTGGCATGATCTTAAATGGTATTATACTTTTTAAAAGGTGATTATTAATGAATATTACTGTTATTAATATCACTTTTACAATAATTTTTCAGATAATAAAATGTATTTTTTCTACTTGATGTATTTCTTACATGTGTATGTTTTGATTTTTAAAATAACATAATTTTAAAAAAATTGATTACATATTTTAATTAAGATTGCCAAGTCTGAATTTTAAATTATAACAAATTTGTTGGAGTAAATGTGATCTACACTATGTATTGTAATGATAATAAAAACTTAAAACAAATCAATTAAAAAACTATCAAGTTGTAATCACAAATGCAATAATTTTGGCATGTGTGGATACATATGCATATGAAAAAGGATAAAAAAATATAATCTATTCAGAACCAGACTTGCTGAACAAACATTCTAATATATCCAAACCTTTCAATCAGCTTTAGTAGTTTCTATCGTTCTCTTCTTAAAAACTTTCCCTCAGTGCTTTGTTAGTAAGAATAGTTTTATTTATTTAATTATTATCATTATATAAAGTTTTCTATTAATAATCAACATGATAATCTTGGTTCAAAGCTTATAGACAATTATTTTTGTGTTTAATTCTTGGGTTTTGATATTATCAACAAGGGTTTTAACTTTTTTCCAAATCTATTGTTGTTGGTTCTTGCAACTAATTTTTAAATTTTTTGATGTTTTTTTTCCTTTGAAATTAAAAATCTAAATTTAGTAATTTAGTTGTATTGGAATTTAAGTTTTTCTTTTTGTACTAATATAATATACTTGTTTCATCAAATTTTCTTTTAATTTCAAAAGTATTTGAAATTTATTAAAACTTATTACAAAATATAAAAAATCTTTTTGAATTCTATAAATAATGAGATATTTATAAATTTATGAATAACTCATACTTATTGATAATTTCTAAATGAGCCAATATTATAAGTCCTTACCTATTTATGAATTAATCTTATGCCAAATATTACATGTAATTGTTAAATGACATCTTAATTAACATATACTATAATGACTTGATTCTTATTATATTTTAGCAAGGATTCAACATAAGCCTCTACAATGCTTTTTAGTTTTATAATTGCATGCAATTAGAATCTAACATGTATATTAATTTTAAAGTTTTGATCTATTCTTCTAATATACATTTTATTTAATTAATTTTAATTCAAGGTTTAATTAATCTATATCTTAATAATCTCTAAGTAAGTTCTACTTGTAACAAAAAATAGATTCTAATTATTTTAAATAAATTCTATTCTATAATATTAATAAAAAAATCTTAAACTTATAAATTCTAAATAATTTCTAAAATATTTTATAAAATTCTTAGTTTAACCAATCTAAAGTAAAGTCTAAGATGTTTAAGTAATATATATAATACAAAAATAAAGTATATCTAAAGCATAAATAAAGTAGTAAAAGTACAACAAATTGATTAACTTTGCATATCTAAAGGCAAAGCTAAGAGTACTAAGAATATGGAGCAAATATTAAAGCAAGCTCATTTATACTTTTGTGTATGATCACACCACATAGATGTGTTTTAGAGTTTTTTTAAATACTTTGTCATTTCTAAAACAAAGTATGTATTTAGCCATTTAGAAGTTATTTTATCTCTTAAAAAGAAGAGACTTAAGTTACATGTGTTTTGTTAATTTGTTTTTGACAAAATTCCAAAATATTTGTTCATATTCAATTAAATCTCTTCAAATTATGCTTCTTTTACTATATACTTTATTTTCAAAGCTAGACTTGTTTTTTCTATAATCTTATAATCTATAGATAAAGTCTCTTTAACAAAGACTAGATCTTACAAAAATGTTTGAATCTAAATAAAATAGTTTTTGTAAAAATAAGTTGTTACTAAGTAAAAGATTTCTAAAGACCTTAATTTCAAAAAATGGATGTTAATTTTTATATAAGAAAAATGGTCCAATTACAAATATAACAAACTTAATGGAAATCCTAAAATTGATAGAAAATGGATTTAGGTGTTTGGAGTAATACAATTGTATGTTAAAAAAACATAAAAAATATGGATGATATTATAGAAGAGCATAGTAGAAAGATATAGTAGAAAACAAGAATAAATGATAGGAAGGTAGTAAGAACTTTATAGTTAATGTTGCCTTTTTATAGAAAAGACTTCTATTTACTTTGTAGGAACATAAATGAAATAAATAATTAATATAGGTATTTTTATGAGAGGAATAAGAATAGGTTTTAGCAAAAATTACCTTAAAATATGAAGAATTGATACTCCGAGAGAACCAATTGTGAACCAAGGTCAAAATCAGACCCCAAGGCACAAAACCATGCACCTATAGCAATTTTGGGGTTCTTTGGTTGATTAAAGAGGAGGATTTGAGAGTAGACAAAAGAAAGGTTCTAGAGCATTGGTTTCAAGTACTTTGAGTGTGTAACAACTTTGTAAAGGCTTTGCAAAGTTAGGGTTTTTTTTTAGTGACTTTGGATTTCGAGAAATTCAAAGAGTTTATACTTTAGACAATTCTATAAAATTTATGAATAATCTACAAGTGGAATTTTGTAATTAAGTGATAATTATTGTGTGTAATCTATTTTGCAAATTTGAGCTTGTTCTAATGATTTGCTTAAAGTTTATTGAAGCTCAAACATATTGAGACCCCAAGAATTGGAATTTAAAAGATTAGTGAAGATTTATAAGATATCTATCAATCTACAAATTGAATTGAAATATAATTTTGCACACAAATAGTTAATTTGACTTCCAAAAATTATGCATAATTTAAGACCTATTGAATTGTGAAATTAAGAGATTTTGGCTCTATAATATCAACATTAAGGTTAGAGAAGGATGTCAACCAACACCTAAGAAAATTTTAGAGATTATCTTCAATTTGGTATGTTCAATCTTCTTCAAATTTTTTTGTACTTATTGCCAACTTACTTATTAAAAAGTATTAAAAGTTTTAGCCAAAATAAATAATTAAATCATTAGTTATTGAGATTTCAATCTGTTATAATTTGTTTAAGATTTAGAATTTTATTAGGATTAAATTAGGATTGATTTAGGATTTAGAATTTAATTATGATTTGATTAGGATTTAATTTAGGATTCGGTTTAGGATTTGATTAGGATTTGGTATAGGATTTGGATAGAATTTAAGATTTCATTAGGATTTAGTCTAGCATTTAATTAGGATTAGTCTAAGATTTACGACTTGTTCAAGGTTTTCTTGGGATTTATTTAGAGTTTATATTTTTAATATTTATTTAGAATTCTTTGTTATTTGTTTAAAAAATTCTATTTCTAATATTTTTTTAAGGTTATTGTTATTTTTTTAAGATTCTATTTTTTTATTTCTTTAGAATTTCTTTATTTTATTTTATTTTTTAGATTAATTATGACTTCTTTATGTTTCTTTTATAATTTCTTTTAAATTTCTTTTGGATTGGTTAAAGTTTGATTAAGTTTGTTAAATATTATTTAAGGTTTATTTAAGACTCTATTAGACTTAGTAGGATTTTGTTGTTGCATTTTTACTTATCTTCTATAGCTAAGTGCGCAATGCATTCTCAAGCAAGAATATATAGAATATAATAATATAACATAATAAATAGAAATATTAAGATTGATTTTTTTTTTATTACTAATCATTATATCTTTATATCATATAAGCTAAATAAACATAGCATTTTTATAAAAACATGGATTGGATTTAGTATCTTTTCAATGAAACAAAAAATCTTAAAAAAAGAGAATATTTTATTTGTATGCCACTAAATTAATAGCAGAGCTATTATTTTGAAGTAAATATTTGCCTAATTTGAAAAAGTATATCATAAATTCTTTCTTTAGATATCCAAAAATATGATTGAAGATCATAAATCAATTCATTGAATGAATCATAGAAAAAATCAATATTAAAGACTTATCTTTTTATTGGTTTTATTCTTGGAACAACTTCTAATACGATTTAAGAAAGCTTCTATTTAATTATCATTGACTTTTAGGCTTTTTTCAAGAATTTTTTTTTATCAAAGTTGAAGGTTCTAGATTAAAAGATTAGATAGATTTATTTTCATGGGATAAGGTAAAAATATATATTTATTTTCTTTTACACCAACATGTTTCAAAAAAAGTTGATATGTTAAATTAAGAAGATGATCTAAGTCCAATTTATATAATCCAATCCAATCATTATATTTTGGAAGGACATCATCACATTGAAGTATGTTTTTTTCAGTTATTAAAAAATAAATACAAAAAAAATCCAAATAAAGCTATAAAATAGATTAATATGATAAGTAGATATTACTGCTTCTATAATAAGAAGAATTGTTAGTCCTTTAAAGAGATTTTTGACACAATAAAAAACCATTTAAGTAAAAAATTGCAACTTGATGGAATTATAAGCAAGTATTAATTTAAAGAAATAGAAGGTTCTACCATTAAAAAAATCAAAAAATATCAAAAAATATAAAGAAAATAGGAATATTTAATTGAAAGAACTTACTTACATATATTCAAATTTTTTTAATTTTGTTCTACATTTTTGACCTAGTACCTTGTTTATAATTTGGAGTAAGTAAGAAAATCAGATTTAATACTCAAGTTTCATAAGCAATAGAGTTAGAATTCATTATTTTAAATCTAAGAAAATTTTAAATATTTGCTTGACTTGATTGAAGTGCTACTAACATTAGTTTGTACAAGAAAGCTTTTGTGGCTTCTTTTAGGTTGATGATGCCAAAACCTTCTTTTTTACAAACTTCTCAACAAACAAATCATCCCACTTTGGACTAAAATAAAGAAGTAGTATGTTTCCACAAAATATTTTTAACCATAAATTTGATTTTTTTTAATAGCCTTCACAAAGTCAATCCATATGGCTAAAAATAATATGATAAAAAAGGAAGATGTTATTTACAATAATGGATCTACTTATCATATTGATTTTGGTATATATCAATAGTCTATTTTTTGTATCATTTTATTAATAAAAAATTGATCATTATCTTACGTGTTTAAAATAAATACCAAAGAGAGTTCCAAGGAATTTATTAATATCTCTATTAAATGCTTATGCTCATCTAAATTAATTTGTCTATGATGTGTCAAATTTTATAGTTTTCCAAATAGCACCAGATTTAGACCAATTAATTTTGAGAGTTAATTCCAATACAAACTTCTAAATAGCATTCACTGAGTAAAAAATGATGTCTTTGTCTTTACGGTCAATAATTGTAGAATCATTGACATATTGGCTAATGACTTGTTAATTATTACTTCAAGAAATATAAATACCTTATAGATGGAGTTGTTTGACTAAATATTGAATAAAAGTATTAAAAATAATTTTGATCCTAATAAAGAGATAAGGTGCTAAAAGGTAGCTTTGTTTATTTTTTGTTCTATAGGAATTGTTTTTGTAAAAGCTTTATTAATACCAAATATTATGCTTATGTCTTAGAGGCTATTTTTAATCGTGTGATAGAAGAAATTATCAAAATAAGGTTTTTCTAAGGCTTTAAGTATGAGGACTTAAGAAACTTTGTCATATGATCAAAAAATATGTATATATATATATATATATATATATATAAGCAAAAAATAATATTTTAAAATTTTGGCTCATTTTTTGGACTTTGGTATAATTCTCACATTTTTAAGATGAATCTTAGAGAGAAGAATGTCATTTGGTATCATGGATATACATAATTATCTACATAAGAAGTATTAGATAGAATGTAAATGTATATAAATTTGATAATATCTTATGGAATAAATTTTTAGAAGCTTAATAGATATGGATTTGACTTTATACGTGTTTATATTTGATTGGTAGGTTGAAAACTTGGCCAACAAATTGGCCATGTAATGTACATGTAGGAAATTTGTCTTATAAGTTAGACATGTCTTGATGGTCTTACAGAACATTGCCACATAGCTCCTAATTAGATAGTATATATGGAGGCAAGAGTGAAGCCTTCTTCACTCTTATCAATGATTTTCTTGTTCTTAATTTTGTTTCAAGAATCTCTAGTTTTCTTGTCTTAGGCAACAACCATTTTATTTTAACACTATACCATATTTTAATGATTATTTATTCTTTTTTAATGACAAAAGAATATATTGATCTTTTGATTCTTCATGATTCATGTCCTTAACAATTCGGCAAGAGTTCTATTTCATTATTTTTGTTTTATTTTAGAAGTGAGTAGATTATTCCACTTCATTTGTTGTGTTTTAAAGAGATGGAAGGAAAAATTATGGATATAAGGCTTTGGAAGAGTTTCCAAGTCTAATTTAAAATTTAGTCTTTTATTCATATATTTTTTCATTTAATCTTGTAATATATGGTTTTATAATTTTTTATTACTTAAAATAGACTAAAACATAAATATATCTATTATAAATAAATCTTATATAATCTTTGAGTTCTTGCCAAAATTGCTCATCTATTACAAGCAATCAAAGCTTTGGTACAATATAAGTATTAGTCTCTCTTGGTAAAGTTCTTATATGTATTAGATTGTAGTCTTTTTATAGATCTATCTTATTAAAGATTTTAGCTTCATCTAGTTGATGAAGAATACTTATTAAAATCACTTCAAATCATATAAAAGTTACAAATCTTTTTCCATCAAAAGAATAAATCAACAAAGAATACTTCTAAATAAAAGCATTTATATAAAATCTTATTTGAGTAGTACCATCAAGATATCAAAAAAGATGTGATTGTAAAAAATATTGGACTTATTGAAGAAATTCTTAAAATACTGATCTTTTTCCATCAAACATCTTTCATATATTGATTTTTGATACTTTTTTACTAATATTAATAAAATTTCTAGAATTTCCTTGCAAAGTTAGTCTATTTGTACTTATTGTTGAGTTTTTCTATAAGTGTATTATAACTATTTCCATAGTTGAGATTGCTATTGCATGAAATTTCTACTTTAAGAATATTAAAAAGATCTTGAACCCTTGCAATGATTGCAAATCTATTATCACTTCCTCAAAGTATAGTGTCTATAGTTTTTTTTTTTTTGCTATTTAAGATTATTTAGATTTAAAATAAATAATACCAACTACAATAAAAGTCAAATTAAAAGAGGATAATTCACAACCTCCAAAATCAAACGATAATTTCTACAAAGATGGATAGTCTATTTTTTTATTATATATACATGTTAAAAAATATAATTTAATTTAAAAGTGAATAATTTGTAATCTTTAAAACACAACAATATCTCACAAGAAAAAGGATAATTTATTTGCTTCTTAAAATAAATAAAAACTATAACAAAGATAGTAGTCTTATGAAACTATCAAGAACATGAATCTATACAAAGGCTTGAAAAGACAATATATAAGTATGCCACAAAAAAGAAGAAAGTAAGCAAAGAAGAAATAGAATTTTTATTGCCAAATGTGAAAGAAATTTAAGAATCTTAAACCAAGATTGGAATACAAGGTAAGCATTGATAAGATTGAAAGTGGCTTCAATCTTGCCTCTATATATACTAATTACGAAGAAAAACTTATAAAAGCTTTTTAAAGACCATGAGGCTTGTAACCTAAGCATTAAGTTGTAGGTTGCTTCTAACACAACTTCCTAGAAGTAGAAAACTTGTAGAACAATTTTCAATAGTTATGTGGCATATCTATAAGAATCTAAAGATCTAATATGGATCTAACAAACTTCCTTGAAGTTTGTGAATGATGATATTATGTATATATCATGTTTTTACTTATTTCTTCTTACTTCCATTTACTTAAATAATAAAGACATCTATTATAGATGGTATTTTTGTTGAAGAAACTTTAACCATCTTTATTTTTTTTACAAATCAATGTTAATGTGGATTATAGTTGTAAAATAAAGTTAATATATAAGAAATATGATTTTTTTTATTTATTTACATTTGAACTATGATATTTTTGTTGCAACTAATTTTGCAGTGAATATTTAATCTTTGCTGCATTAAGAATTTTTACACAAACAACAAGAAGCTACTAAAAAATCACGACTTATAAAATAATTATTTAATTAGAAAAATATTTCAAAAGTAGCTTTTTAAATTAGAAAAACTTTTATGATATTTTTGAGTAAAAATATTATTTATTTAACATATTCCTACATTACTTCTATTCACTTCAATTTTAGACACCACAAAATTATAAGACGTGTAAAACGATTTGTTTAACACACAAATTGTATTACATCATAAATATAGCTTGCTTTTGTACCACCGAAGAAACACTAGACACAATCAATCAATCTGATACCGAAATGGCTCAACCTCAAAACTCCCCCTTTCAAAATTTAGCTATTTCTTACAATTTCACTATTTCCAACACTACTCTCAACTCTGAATGAACCCCATCTTCACACCACTTTTCCTATCCCATTGTGCTTGTTTAAAATGATGATCAGGCATACCACTACTTTCAGTAGAATCAGGTCCCATTTCCCAGTTCTCATTTCCAGCGTTTCCGCATCCACAACAAATACAGTTTTTTGTGCACAACGTTTACCATTTACAGAGAATGACTTGTAAAGCGACGAGGAGATGAAAGAACAATACAACAAGCAAAAATCAAACATGGCCATGGAAACCAGCTACAAAAGACTGTCAGAATATGCAATCAATACAATTGCTAAGTCAGAAAAGCACTTGCATACAATGGGAATGTAGAGAAGCACGCGCAACGAGAAGATCCACTGTTCAGAAATGATACCCCGATGAACTGTCCAGGGTTGCCGATCTTGTCCGCTACATTTCAGTAAATATGCCTACAACAAGCAATTACAGCCTATTGCAGGACAATGATGTAACACACTTTCATTGTACATCCTTTCACATTGTCAAATGTCTTCCCTCTTCTACAAAATGGTCACAACTATCCTACTATGTACGTGAAACTTCACTACCGTCTCAATCTGCACAACTCCATTTGGTGGTTCTCTTCTCTCTGGATCACTCCAACGCCTTGCAACAACGTTCGCCACCTTGCCCAAACGTATTAATGACCTGAGAACACAAATAGCCTCAGCATCCTCTGCCGCAACAATACCCAGCACAGAAAGAAATAAACTGGTCGAACTCCTGAAACAGCACCGGTTTCTACTCATCCAATACCTACATAATCCAGACCCCAACCCACCACACTCAACAGACATTCCACAAATACCAGAAAACGCAACCCAAACTATCAATATTCGATTAAAACAAAGCACCTACGATCATAGTATCAGATACCTCACCATAACTAAGTCAATTTATGCAGCCACTTCATCCACACCAAGGGCCAGCACAATTCCATGAATGCAGTGCCGACCATAGCCCCATCGACGTCGTCACTGCAATCCCAATAGCCAAGCTCTCCATGTCTACAGGGTGCTCCCAAGCGCTGTCCAACAGCCCAGCACCAAATGGTCGTAAAAACTTTGTAATATTCTCATGTACTACCTCATCAGTAACTACCTGCACCACGGACTCCCGCTGCAGCACTTTGCACTGCCACCTCTGCAGGAAAATCTTACACCATTCACATACTTCCAAGGCGT